GGTTTCTTCCCATCTTTGTGGATTTATCCACCTGTTGTCTGTGTAGTTGCTGACTTTTCGATTGGGTCTCTGAGTGGACGCCCAGATTGTTGATGATGAAGTATTTCTGTTACTTGGTTTTCCTTCTACCAGTCTAGCCCCTCCACTGTACAACTGCTGAGGTCCACTCCAGGCCCTGCTTGTCTGGGGTGCACCTATAGCAGCTGCGGAACAATGAGTGATGCTACCAGTTTCTTTTTCTGCTATCTTTGTCCCAGAATGATGCCTGTCAAATGTCAGTCTTTTGGATATAGAGGGGTCAGGGAGCTGCTTGAGGAGATAGTCTGTACTTAATAGGAGCTCAAGTGCTGAGCTATGAGCTCTGTTGTTCATTCAGGGCTGTTAGGCTGCTACGTTTAATTCTGCTGCAACAGAACTCATTAAAAAACCCTTTTTTTCTCAGATGCTCTGTCTCGGGGGGGTGGTTGGGGCTTTCTTTGTGAGTGTCCGTTGTGCTGTCCTGCTCAGCTAGGAGGCAGTCTAGTCACTATTTGCCTGCCGAGGCTCTGCCCTGCTGGTGTGAGGTTCACCCTGTTGCTGTAAGCTCTGCCCTGCTGCCACGGGCTACGCCCTGCAGTGGAGTCTCTCTGTTGTAGCGGGTTGCCTCGGCAATGGCAGGCTGCCTCAGTAATGGGCGTGTACCTCAGTAGGGGCGGATTGCCTGGGTAATGGCGGACGCCCCTCCCCCATGGAGCTGCACTGTCCTGGGTTCAGCTGTGCCCTCAGGGAACCTCTCCACTGGGAGCATTTGGAATCGCCGTTTTGTTTGTCCCATTGCGCTACCCCAAACGTTGTTTCCCTGGAATCTCCTGGCCTGGCTCACTGTCCAAGTCCCGTTCAGTCTCAAGTTCAGCCCTCTCAAGTCTCAGATTGCCAGTTCAACAGGGCACCTGGACCACTGTGCTTTGTGCGGAGCGCTGTGTAGCGCCACGCTACAGCACCGGCTGCACTGGCTGCCGGCTGCACCAGCCAAACCCTCTGCCTGATGTCCCATGTCTCTTTTATACCTGGGAATTTCCCCGTTCTGTGGGCAACAAAGATCTGTCTGGAAATGCGGCCCTGACTCACCCTCTCTGCGCATTCACTGAGAGCTTCAATCCTGGGTTGTTCTCACTGTGCCATCTTGAGTCCTCTCTCTCTCAACAATTCTTAAAAGTGTAAAGGCAGCTTGAGACCAAAACATACAATCTATTGCTTTTATCCCTTTAGCCTACCTTAAAGGGGTAGTTAACCAAAGAAGGACCATATGCGTATTAACACACAAGAGAAAAAAATACAGATACCAAAGGGAATTCTCTTTATAGAATTGAGAAGCAAAGTTCCAAATAATACGTATGAAAAATATTTTACTAGCATACTGATTTCATTTTAGCTAGGAATCCAGAATAGCATAGGAAAGCAGAGTCAGCTATTAGGTTATATTTAAACCAAGACAATGATTGCATAATAGACAAAAAGTATGCAAAACAACTCATCTAATTTGAATCAAATGAGAGACTATTATATTTTGAAGATGCATTTATTATTTAATGCCACCAGATTTAGTTATAAAAAATCTTAAAACTAAACAAAGATCTTATTGGCATGCTCATATTCCTGTACAATATTCAGATAACAAAAGCAAAGCTAAATTTTTAGAAGTTGTACAAGAAAGTGCTCACAATTTTTTTCAATACATTTGGTAGTATAAGAAAAACTGGTCAGGCACAGTGGCTCCTGCCTGTAATCCCAGTGCTTTTGGAAGCCGAGCCAGGTGGGATCACCTGAGGTCAAGAGTTCAAGACCAGCCTGACCAACATGGAGAAACCCTATCTCTACTAAAAATACAAAAATGAGCCGGGCATGGTGGCGTATGCCTGTAATCCCAGCTACTCTTGAGGCTGAGGCAGGAGAATTATTTGAATCTGGGAGGTGGAAGTTGTAGTGAGCAAGATTGCACCATTGCACTTCAGCCTGGGCAATAAGAGTGAAACTCTGTCAAAAAAAGGAAAGAAAGAAAGAAAGAAGAAAGAAAGAAAGGAAGGAAGGAAGGAAGGAAGATAGAAGGAAAGAAAGAGAAAAAGAAAGAAAGAAAGAAGTAAAGGGAAGGGAAGGAAGGAAGGAAGAAGGAAGGAAGGAAAGAGAGAAAGCAAGGAAGGAAGGAAGGAAGGAAGAAAGACTGTATTTTGGTAAAGGTGGTAACAAGTTTCAGTCAAATGCTTCTAATTATAATTAATTTCAGCATGACAGTTTCAATTATTTTGCTTCTGGAATTTGTTCTGTCAATAACTGAAATAGGCTGTTAGCTCTGACTTAAAATATCTTCAGTCGAGATTTTTGTACATTTATTTTAGTCAATATCTGATCTATAGCTTTGGGTTTTGTTTTTGTTTGGTGAAAACTAATGTTTTTCACCAAGTAAGAAATAGGCAATTTTTACAGAACACAGATTCTCATAGACCTGTAGTACTGACCTGACGTTTTTATAATTATACTTCTTATACAAGTAGAAAATTATAATAAATTTACAAACTACCTACCTAAGCCAAATTCAGTAAAACCCAAGTTAACTAACATAGTTGAATGTGATCATTGGCTTTGCAGAAATTAAATCACTGCCAGAAGCAAGCACAGGGCTTCCATGACTGCAGTGCGGCTACTTTGAGTGAGTACATGGATACCGCTACTGAACTGTCTGATGACTGTGTCCACCCACAACTTCTTGTTTTAACCAAATTGCAGCAAAGTCTTCCTACCTACATGATACTGTGATATTGCTCCTCACTGATATGACTATTATTAGTACTATGGTATTTTCATGTTTCCCTTCTCAGCCTCAAGGTTACAGTATTAGGTGGAACCTTAGGGAGGTAATTAGCTCTGCTCTCACGAATGGGGTTAGTGCCCTTATAGAAGAGACCCCAGAGAGACCCCTTGATTCATCCATCACTTGAGGACACCAAATCTGCCTTGATTTTGGACTTCCCAGCCCCCAGAATGGTGAAAAATAAATTTCTGTTCTTTATAACCACCCAGTTTGTGGCATTTTGTTGTAGTGGCAGAAACAGACTAGACGAGTATCCAAAGCTCTAGAATTCAGTGGGTACTGAAAATACCTGTGATCAGGTCTATTTTGACAGCAGTCATCTAAATGATCCTGAATTTGATCAGATCAATTATTTTTATTATCTCTAGAAATGAAAACACAGAACAAGAATTTTGTGGAGAACTTCAGTGACTTTAGGTGTTGTCCTTGGAGTCCAGTTTAAGAAACAATGCTTCTGATTAGGAAGACCTGAAGCTGTGGGAAAGATCCTGCCTTCAGCTGACGGCCTCGGGTGATTTTGTTCCTGAAGTTGCGTATTCGCAATCTTTTTGAAGCTTTCAGAGCTTTCATAATCAAAGGGCCACAAGATGGAGAAGCCACTTTTTGAAAAAAATATCTTTTATGTTAGGAAAATAAAATTTTATGCATTAATTTCCAGTTTCTGAAAAAGGGCCGTACATGTCTTTCCATTAACAATAGCAAGTTTTCATGTCAAGAACACTTTTATTTGCAAACCTTGTATTAAATGACTATTGAGCAAATCCTGGCAACATCTGCCTCATTCTTAAAATCTAAAGCAGGAATTAGCAAGCTACGCTACCTGTGAGTCGAATCAGCTCACTGCCTGTTTTTGTATAGATGTGAGCTAAGAATATTTTCAATATTTTTAAAGTATTGCTTTAAAAAAAAAAGAAAAAAAACCATGAAACAGAGGACTTATGTGGTTTGCAAATTATAAAATAGTTACTATCTGGCTCTTTATAGAAAAAGTTTGCTGGCCTCTGCTTTAAAGAACTGCATCTTTTTAAAAAGCAATATTAGTTTTATCTTGAGAACGAGGTAGCTAATATTCATATTCTCTCTGTCCCCTTTCTTCTTCACCCTGTCTTACTCTTTGTTTACCTTTTCTAGCATGTTAAAGGCTTTATTATGCTACTAGATTTGTTGTCTAAGTTCTATCATTCAATCCTTCATTTTAAAAACAGGTGAGAAGGCAATATATATTAATCCTCTTTTTTTTTTTTTTTTAAAAAAAGCACTATATATGAAATAGTCTGCTTTTTAACTTGCTTTTATGTGGGTCAGTAATTCTTTTAAAAAAAGAAAATGTGACCCATTTACCTTAAATGCCTACATTAAAGCAAAGCTAGTTCTTGATGTCTTGGATTTGCATTCTTATTTGTTTATTTATTTATTTTGTTGTTTGGAGACAGGGTCTCACTAAAGTGTCTCTCAGGCTTGAGTGCAGAGGCACAACCAGGGCTCACTAGAGGCTCCGCCTCCCAGGCTCACATGATCCTCCCACCTCAGCCTCCTGAGTAGCTGGGACCATGAGCATATGCCACCATGTCTGGCTGTTTTTTTTTTTTTTAAACATTTTGTAGAGACATAGTCTCCCTCTCAGGCTGGTCTTGAACTCCCAAGCTCAAGTGATCCTCCTGCTTCAGCCTCCCAAAGTGCCAGGAGTACAGATGGGAGCCACCATACCTAGCCCTTTTCTGTAGTAATATAAAGTAAGTCACTAATGTGAAAATAACTTGACGAATGTGGGAATAACTTGAAGCATGTTTAACCTGAGTTAAGAGCATCCCAGATGTAATATGCAATTGTTAAACTCAGGAAAGGACAACTGAACATTAACCTTATTTTCTAAATCTCTTTTCCCAGGAATTAAAGCATGAATAGTATTTGTTTGGTAAGATCTAAATGGCTTAATAAGCTCTAAGCCTGCAGAGAAATTCACTTTCAGAGTTGCAAAATGGTTTATGAGGTTCATTAATAGTCAATTTTAAGTATGATTAAGTGCTTAGACTATTGTTAAGTACTCAATAATTACTTGTTCTTGATTAACGATTACGATCTCCTTTACCTGATTCAGAGAATGCATTTAAGTAGCCAAAGAAATGTGATAATTACTCACTAAGGAAACAAAATGTGGTGAGTATCTGGATTCCTTTTAATCTTCTGTGGATTATTTAAGAAAGAACATTGGAAACTAATTCTACAGGGAAAATGCTGTTGCTGAGGAAGGCGTTGGGACACGGATTGCTGACAACAGGATTTGGTTTTGAGAATTGAATTTGAAAGACAAAAATGAGTTATGTTTCTTCCCTGAAGGCAGATGGGTACTTGTTAAGAACTTCCTTCAGCAAGAAAGTTAGGATCCCTGCCACGTTCTCCTCCTCCCTTCTGGAGTTCTCCATGGTAAGCAGGCACAAGCCATCAGAAGGAGGCTCTTGGTGGGGCATTCTTGGTGGTCCAAGGACTCGGTCAAGGTCCTAGATGGTGAGTCCATCTTAGCCAGAGATGGCAGACTTGACCCAGGAAGCCCTTGTGGTCCTCGGGGCTATACGCAGCACATCCCTGGCGCATTCTGTGCCACTTCTCTTTTCACTCAAATTGTTGCCAGCAAACAGCAACATCGGGACTTTGGAGAAGATTGTGTCCTTCAGGCCTTTGTTAAAACTTTCTAAAGATGTAGATGGCATTGCCTTCCCTGGCACCAGCAGAATCCTACTCATACCCTACTAATCCTTGTCTGCAAATGCAAGGCGTGATTGTTAAGTGTGCTCTGAGTGAAGAGACCGCCTAAACAGGCTTTGTGTGAGCACCAAGGCTGTTTATTCACTTGGATGTGAACAGGCTGAGTCTGAAAAGAGAGTCAACAGAGGGTGGTGGGATAGGAGCTGGTTTTACAGACTGGGAGCAGACAATGGAAAGTTATAGTTTAGGGAGTTTTTTTTTTGCAAGCCAGGGGTGGGGGGTGTCACAGGGTCCAATGTCACAAGGTTGACCTATCCATTGAGGCAGGAACAGTGGTAGAATGTCGCAAGGTCAGTTAATCAGGCCACAGTGTACAGTGTCACAAGGTTGATTTATCAGTTGAGGCAGAAGCAGTGGTGGAATGTTGCAAGGTCGGTTAATCAGGCATTGCAGGGGCTAGTCTTCTATTTTTGCGGTTTTCTTGGTATCTCAGGCTTTCTGGCTCCAGGAGGCCATCTGGAGGTGTATGTGTGGGTCACAGGAGTCACTATGGCTTGACTATGGTGTAATTCGTGGTGCAGTCAATTCAAAGAACCTTGCAGTGATCAATCAGGCCTCCCGTGGCATGATGCTGCAGGCTGCCCTTACCAGAGTCAGAGGCCCCCTCCAGCTTTGTTGCTATCCTGGATTTTTAGACACTGCCCTGACCTTTAACTCTGAGCTCCATTCTTTCCTGATTCCTTAGACAGCTTGGACTTGAGCCTTACTTACCCAGTTCCTAGCCCTTTATTCTTCCAAGGGTACACCAGGCACCTGGAATCTCTGGACCTTAAAGTGCCTCCTCTTGCACATCCTTCCAATACTCACATTCCAGGACCACACCCCCACCTTTGCCCCTGCTGGACTTTGACCTCTGGGCACTCCAGGGGCAGCCAGGCAGCTTGAAGTCTGAGCTTTGGCCTGCATTTTAGAATTCAACGTTGTCGCCTCTTCTGGCTTAATATTTCTACATTTGTTGCTTCAATTTACCCTCCAGCTCTGAGCTCTAGCTCTGCCTTGGCTTGCCTCTTACCTTGGCCACACAGCCAAGCTGGCAGGTTCCCCGAAGCCAGTCTATTCATGCCCATTCCTCAAGTTTTGCTATAGCTATTTGTGTGCTCCAGCTTCCAAGAAGTCTCTAGACATAGGACAAAGGCTGAAACGCAAGAGTAATAGGAAGTAAGTTATCTTAGCAGATTCCCCCTGTGAATGCTGCATGAGGGGTTGCTGAAAGGAATTTCTCAGATCACCATTACAAGGATTCTCAAGGGAAGGCTTGGTGACAGAGTGAGATAGATAGTCACTGGAAGTGGGACAAGCCTGAATTAAAATATCATCTCTTTTATTGGTTGCTTTCATAGATGAGAAAACGGGGAACCAAAAATATTAACTGCCTTCGCCACTATCACAGTGATTAAAATAGAGCAATGTTGGAATCAGCATCTTGCTTGCTTGCTGGATGAGTACAGTGCTGTCTACCCTTATTCATTCAACAAGTATTCATGGATTGTCTACGCTAGACCATGCTACTACAATCTAACAGTCCTTGGGTATATAATAAACAGGTGCTAGGAAACATAGGAAATGAGTATAATGAAAGGTAGCTGTTGGACATTTATCTGGTTTAAAAATAATACATATTTTTAGAATTTTTAAATAATTCAATGTTATTTATGCTGGTGTGATGATAGAAGTATGTGTAATAAGTTTTTATGGAAATTCAGAAATAAGAGCTACCAAATTGTGCTGTGATTCTCAGGAAGGTTTCTTAATTTGGGTGGCACAGAAATTAAACTGGAAGGCAAGCTAAAACTTAGACGAGTTGAAAGGAGAGGAAAGGGTTTTTCAGTAGGAGAAATGCAAGTTTTGTGTTGGGAATTTAGAAAGAAGGTTGTATAGTATGTGAGAAGGAATTATAGAAAGCTTTGAGAAAACGCCAACCAAAAGTGTTCACAGGGGGCCAGGCACGGTGGCTGACACCTGTAATCCCAGCACTTTGGGAGGCCCAGGCAGGCCAGTCACTTGAGGTCAGGAGTTTGAGACCAGCCTGGCCAACATGGTGAAACCCTTTCTCTACTAAAAATATAAAATTAGCCAGGTGTGGTGGCATATACCTGTAATCCCAGCTACTTGAGATGCTGAAGTAGGAGAATTGCTTGAACCCAGGAGGCGAAGGTTGCAGTGAGCCAAGATCTCACCACTGAACTCCAGCCTAGTGAGCAAAACTACATCTTAAAAAAAACACACACACAAAAGTGTTCATGTGGCACTGGGGGGCCACTGAAGTATTAGCAGAAGAGTGCCACGAGGAAGCTAGTCTTTAGGAAGATTGCTCCAGCAATGCTGGGGTGAGGGTGGGGGGCTAGGAGAAGAAGGTGAAAGCATAGAATTGGTACAATAAGATTATAGGAGATTCTTAAAGAAATTCAAATATATCATTTTCAAGTACTTACAATACTGTGATCTTATAATTAAAACACCACTGGCATCTTCGGTCCTGACAAACGTGGCTATAACAAAGAATTTAGATTGTATATTTCTATGATGAGTCTAAGGTAATGCTAAAAAATAATTTGTCCTCATATTAAGCAAACCACCTCCCCTTCCAAACATTGTCTTTTAAATCTGTAATTTCTGTTAACATCTCTTTCATAGTACAAAAATACACAAAGCGAGTTCATGCTCACATAACTAAAAATTCTCCATGAGTGAGCATGTGTTAATGAACCAGAGGTTTAAAGATACAAATAACATCAAAAATAATAAAAAATATGAAAATGAAATTCGCCCGCAATCCCATTACTCAAACACCAACTGTTGTTTTTCCTCTTCCCATGTTCTTTTCACTAGGTTTTGTTCATATGTTGCTGTGTCACTTTTTATGACAGTGAAACTGTTTACTAATAACAATAGAGGTAGTGAGATTGACAATCTTTGTCCCTAACATAAGAATAGTTATCCTACTATTCTTTTTTTTTTCTTAAGACAGGGTGTCATGCTGTCACCCAGGATGGAGTGCAGTGGCACGATCTCAGCTCACTGCATCCTCCACTCCCCAAGCTCAAACGATCCCACCGCCTCAGGCTCCTGAGTAGCTGGGTTTACAGGCTCATACCACCTCGCCTGGCTAATTTTTATTTTTTGTAGAGAGGGGGTCTTACCGTGTTGCCTAAGCTGATCTCAAACTGCTGGGCTCCGTTGATCTCCTGTCCTCTACCTCCCAAAGTGCTAGGATTACAGGCGTGAGCCACTGCCCCGGCCAACCCTACTGTTCTCAAATGAGATTTGCACCTTGGTAGATGGCAATATGAAATAGAGGTTTCACAGCCTTCAGGCTCTTTAAAGACCATACTGTGGTATCGTCTTGAGGAAGTTTGATCAAATCCAGCAAAGTGCCCTGTAGTTAACAGTCTTCTTCTCCAACTGGTGGAGTAAATGACAAAGGATGACAGCCACAGTACTTCCTTTGTGTGTGTGCTCGAAGTTAGACACTAATTTCTCTAGTGAGTTGAACATTAAGCAGGTATAAGGAAACCTGATACCGATATTTTTCCAGAAGAAAAATCGGTATAAGGGTTCTAAAGAAATTAAGCCCTGGCTATTTATTTGTAATATGTTTCTGAGATCTAGTCATTCCTGTTGAAAGGGAATGCTTTAACGTTTGCTCCATTAATATTTGAGTACTGTTATATTCAGTCTGGTTATACAGATTGTGTGTACAGGTTCACTCATCACTTCCTGAGTTGTCCCCAGTGAACCAGATTTGCCTGCCTAGAGGCAATGGTCTGGGATACACTGAATTTATTCAGAGGATTTTGGTTTGTTTGCTTTAATAACTCTTGTTAGCAAAACCTAAAACTTGAACATTATCCAAATCCACTGCCAGAATATAGCTGCAACAGCTCCAATCTAGTGACGGAAAAAGAAAAATAAAGAAAAAAGATTTTGATCCCCAATGAACTTGACTTATATAAATTTGCATGTACATCATGATCTTTGTTTGTGATTTGTAGAAGCAAAACTGAAATTAGGTGATATTACTTTTGGCAGTTGAATACATGCTATAAAAATAAAACTGAATTTAAATAAAGTGAAAATGTTAAAATGCTTGATGTTTCATCACAGCAGAGGTTCAAAACCATTGTATCTGCCATGAGGTTTATCCCACTGCAAATAATAATATTTGTGATTTTTTTAAAAAACTAAAATAGATTTTCATAGTTCAGTTTTTTATTTCATTAACTCATGTTCCAGGGGATATCTACTCCAGAAGAGGCAAACCAAAAATGATCTGTGCAGGAAGATGTTGGTACGGTCTCCACTGAGGATTAAAACACACACTGTTTTAGCGTTTCATAGAGAGATCAGCATTTTACATAAAACCATTTTTCACCATAAATTCATTTTTCTTGTGCCTTGCTTTTTAAAAAACTTAAATACTCTCTGACTCTGAAAAATGTTTCTCAAAAATAATAAATGAAAATAATAAATTCATATTGGGAAACTTTTCACAAAGGCTATCTCAGGATTTTCTCATAAAATCTTGCTTGGTAGAAATTATTGTCATTCATTGATGGGTCAGGACACTGAAGCCTGGGGAATTAAAAGTCTTTTTGATTCAGATACCACATCAATACAGAACTCATGATTTGAGCTCAGGACTAGTTTCCCAGGACATTGTTCTTTTTATTAGTTTTGTACAACAAGTATGATTGTAATAAAGCAAGCATTGAAAGTCCCCAAAAAGGTTCCTTAAAAATGGTTTTATTGCTTCTGCCAAAGTATTGTCACAGTCAAATGTGGACATGTGTGTTCTGTTTGCTTACCCTGCCCTGGTACAGCAGCAGCTTTACTTAGCACTGTTCTGAAGCCCTCTCTTTCTTTCTTTTATTTTTTTTATTTTAAACAAGGTCTCACTCTGCCGCCCAGTCTGGAGTGCAGTGATATAATCTTGGTACCCTCTCTTAGAAGCGGAAACAGATGCCCTCTCTCTTCTCCTATATCCACTGTCCCCTCATCCAGTGTCCTCCTCCTCACCCAGATACTGCCACATCTAATGAGTTTACAATTATTTTTAAATTTCTTTCCATGAGATGGTATCTGCATACCAGCTGGGGCTAGAATGTAATCCATCCTGCAGAAGTTAAACCATGGATTATGCGAAGAGCAGGAGGTGGTAAGTCGGGGACATTTGATGGAAAACTTCTTGGAAATGTCAACCTCAGTATCACGTGTCCATCTAACTTCAGATTTCAGAGTGCATGATATGTGTGCTAGAGCCAGTCATTGGAGTAAGTTCAAGTTTGGAGAAAATTTTCTTCCAAATTAACAAGAAAGAAGGAAGAAAGAGAGAGGAAGAAAGGAAGGTGGAAGGAAGGAAGGAAAGAAAAAGAAAAGGAGGAAGAAAAGGAAAAAAGGGTAAGGCTTTTTGTATATGCATGAGTTCCAACTCCTAGAAAAAACAATCATTTAACTAAGTTACTTCATTTAGCTAAAGAAGATAATTTTTCTTAGGGAATCAATAAATGTCATTTAGCCAGTGGTCTCATTTCTTCGAATTCATATTAGAGGTTATTAATGGGGGAATAATGATGTGATCAAACCATTAGACAAAAATATAGTATATTCAGGTTGAAGAACACCACAATTGCACCTTGAATAGGTGTACCATATGGCTGTAGGAGTAACTGGAGTCCATGCTTTAGGTTTTGTCCCTAGTTAGGAAGGAACATTAGGTAGACCTGCTCCCCTAGCATTCTCATCTCAGTAGGCACCACCACCAGCTTCTCAAGTCCAAGCCTGAAACCCATCTGTGCTTTACTTTCTTCTCTTTACACCAACAAAGGGAAGAAAGAGAAAGAAATCTCTTCCTGGCCGGACGCGGTGGCTCTCGCCTATAATCCCAGAACTTTGGGAGGCCAAGGCGGGTGGATCACGAGGTCAAGGGATCGAGACCATCCTGGTCAACAAGGTGAAACCCCATCTCTACTAAAAATACAAAAATTTCTGGGCATGGTGGTGGATGCCTCTAGTCCCAGCTACTCGGGAGGCTGAGGCAGGAGAATTGCTTGAAACCAGAAGGCGGAGGTTGCAGTGAGCCAAGATCCAGTCTGGGTAACAACAGCGAAACTCCGTCTCAAAAAAAAAAAAAAAAGAAAGAAATCTCTTCCTGACTAGAAGGCAGGTTCACCCTTCTTCACTGCGCTGTCTTATGTCAGACACTCATTAGGTTTTGACAGCATTATAGCAACACCAGTTTGATTCTTCCTTTCTAATCCTGCTAGGGTGATCGTCCCAAAACACAAGCATGTTCAACTCCCTTTGCCTAAGAAGCTTAAACTCCCTGGATGCCCTGCCCTTGCCTCTTTATAGAATTCAAACCCAGCATACAGGGACTTTAATGAGTAAACCCCTATTTAACTCTCTCGTCCCCACTGTTCTTTACTTTGCCAATGGAAATCCATCTACTTTTTGGATAAAACGACATGCAGTTTCAAAAAAAGAGCACATTCTCTGTGACGCCATGTCTATGCATGGGCAGCTCCCTTTGCAGGCTCATCCCCCACTGCTGTTTCACCTGGCTGGCTTGGCACAGGCCACATCCCTTTCAAGAAGTCTTGCCTGCCCCAGCCTGTTTTGAGTATCTGTTTTTAGTACCCTAGTCTGCTTTAAGGATCTCTTGGAGGCTACACCCATTTTATACTGACCCTCTCTTAATATGCTGCCAATGACATTGTCTATTTTCCTGTCTCCACCCTCAATTTTGAAATCCTTCCCAGCAGGCACCTAACACATTCCAGGCACAGAAGAGGTGTTCAGTCCAGTAAATCCTTGAAAAATGATTTAAAGAATTAACAAACTAATAATCAACATGGTAACCAAAAGAAATGAAGGGGCTGCATGAATGGGAAGTTTGGAGTGGGCAGTACTGGCAGCGAGAAAGTTGTTTCTTTGTAGTGTTAACTGAGTTGGGTCAAATGGAAAAAAATCCAGAACTGGGTTCTAACCCCTCTTGACCTGAGCTTTTTCTTTCTCTCTTTCTTTTCTTTTCTTTCTTTCTTTTTTCTTTCTTTCTCTTCTTTCTTCTTTCTTTTCTTACTTTCCTTTCTTTCTTTCCTTCTTTCTTTCTTTCTTGCCTTTCTTTCTTTCCTTTCTTCTTTCTTCTCTTTCTTTCTTTTTTATTCTTTCTCTCTTTCTCTCTCTCCCTCCCTCCCTTCCTTACTTCCTTCCATGGAGTCTGACATGCAATGGCACAATCTTGGCACACTGCAACCTCTGCCTCCTAGGTTCAAGCAATTTGCCTGGCCCCACCTCCTGAGTAGCTGGGATTACAGGCACCTGACACCATGCCTAGCTAATTTTTTTGTATTCTTAGTAGAGACAGGAGTTTCACCATGTTGCCCAGGCTGGTCTTGAACTCCTGACCTCAGGTGATTCACCTGCCTCAGCTTGCCAAAGTGCTAGGATTACAGGCATGAGCCACTGCGCCTGGCCTGACTTTATGTAATATGAACTCCCCATAGGTTTTCTGTAAGGGTAAATAAAATATTGTACATATGGTGTCTATAATATTTTTCTAGAACATATTAAGAATATAACAAGAGTTTAATAATTAAGTCTAATAAATATTAACTTCAGCCCCTTACAGTTTAATATTATCTAAACCTGATGAAATCAACCAATTCAAAGAAACAAAATCAAAGAGCTTTAGACTAGTCATTTCAAATAGAGAGTTATTGATTAAGAAAACAAAAACCTTCTGGCACAGAAGATAAGGAGTAAGAAAAAAGAAGGCCAGGTGCAGTGGCTTATGCTCGTAATCCTAACACTTTGGGAGGCTGAAGTGGGAAGATCACTTGAGGTCAGGAGTCCTAGACTAGCCTGGCCAACATGGTGAAACCGTGTCTCTACTAAAAATAAAAAATTTGCTGGGCGTGGTGGTGCATGCCTATAATCCCAGCTACTCCAGAGGCTGAGGAAGGAGAATCATGTGAACACAGAAAGAGACCTCCAGTAGCTGAGATTGTGCCACCGCACCCTTACCTTGTGCTAGACATGGTGGCTTATGATTGTAATCCCTGCAGGCTGAGGATTGGAGACTGAGGCAGAAAGATTACTTCCCTTGTTTCTAGAAGAAAGAAAAAGAAAAAAAAAAAAGTTCCAAACTGGAGGGGAAAATTGAATTCACATTAGTAATAATGTCTCTACCATTCCCTGTCTTTTCTTCTTTTCTTCCTACAATATCTCACTTTATAATTTTTCCTAAAGATCTATACACACATCTTAAGTGTACAGTTCGATGAGTTCTGACAAATTTATATACCCATGTAACCAACAGCCCTGTCATGACATAGAATATTTCAGCGGCCTCAAAAAAGTTTTCTTGCACCCTTTTCCAGTCAGTTCCTTCATGGATAATAATTGTTCTGATTTACATAACAATATATTAACGCTGCCTTTTCTTGAACTTCATATATGGTAAATGAAAACGTGTGTTCACCTTCACACAGCATTAGTCTGTGAAATTCATCCATATGTAAGTATGAGTAGTTCTTCATTTTTTTTGTGGCTGAAAAGTATCTTTTTTGCTTTTTTATTTTAAAAAATTTGGGGGTACCCAGGAGATTTATATATTTATGGGGTACATGAGATGTTTTGTTACAGGCATGCAATATTCTTTCATGTGAATGTCACAGTTTGTTTATCCCTTCTCCTGTTAATGGACGTCTGGGCTCTCTTTCCCAATTTAGGATTATAAATATTCTTGTATGAGTCTTCTTGTAGACCTATATTTTTGTTTCTCTTGGTAAATATATGGGAGTAGAAGTGATAAGGCCTGGCATGTTTAATTTTATTAAAAACTAACACACAATTCTCCAAAGTGACTGCATTATTATATACTTCCACTAGCAATAAATGAGAGGTATTGTGCCCCACTAAATGATTGCCAATATTTGGGGTTGTCAGCTTTCTGAAAAAGACTAACATTTTGTGTTTCCACTAAACGGTATGAGTTACTCCACATTCCTCACCATTGCTTGATACTAGTTGTCTTTTTCACCTTAGTCATTCTAGTGAGTATGTAGTAGGATCTTGCTGTGGCTTTAATTTGCATTTCCCTGTTGACTAGAGATGTTGAGTAGGTTTTCATATGCTTATTTGCCATCCGTATGTCTCCTTATGTGAAGAGTTTGTTCAAATCTTTTTGCCAAATTTTTCATTGTGCTTCCCTTCTTACTATGGAATTGTAAGATTGTTTTTTTATAGATTCTGGACACAAGCCCTTTGACAGACATATGCTTTGAAAATATTTTCTCTCTATCTACAATTTGCCTTTTTATGCTCTTCATTGTATCTTTCTAAAAGTATAGGTTTTTATTTTTGCAAAAGTCAATTTTGTCAATGCTGTCTTACGATCAGTGCTTTTCATGTCCTACTTAAGAAAACTCTGATTAACTCAATGTCATGAAGACTTTCTCCTGTGTTTTTATCTGTAAGTTTTATTGTCTTAGCTTTTTTATTTAGTTCTATGATTCATTTTGAGTTAATTGTGGCTTATATTATGAGGTAAGGATCAAGGTTAATTTTTTATTAATCCATAGAGATATTTAATTATTTCAGCACTGATAAAAGACTATCCTTCCCACATTGAATTACTTGGCACCTTCATTGCAAACCAATCAATCATATAAGTGTGAGTCAATTTCCAGATTTTCCATTCTGTTCTATTGATCTATTTGTCTTTATATCGATTGATCTTTATACCAAGAACACACTGCATTGAATAATGTAGTTTTATCATAACTTCTGAAATTAGCTATTGTGATAATGGGAAATATATGTTTGGAAACATATATTTGGTCTCAGATCTGTTTCCCCTTAAAATTTTTAGAATCTCCAAAGTGATGTCCTTTTGTATACTAATGAGTTGACTGATGGCTGACAGCCACTAGGAAGCTTCAAGATGGAGACTGATCACAGGAAAGACCAATAAATTATTAGAGGATTAGGACTTTCAGCCCACCCCCCCAACCTCTGGATAAAAGAAATAGGCTGAAAGTTAAATTGATCACGAGTGACTTGGTGATCACCAATAGTTTGGTTTACTCAATCATGGCTATGTAATAAAACCTTTATAGGTTTTATTAAAAGGTTTTATAACTTCTGGATAGCTGAACACATGGAGGTTCCTGTGTTACTCAGGTAAATATTTATGTTTACCTGAACATAAATATTTACCTGAGTTCTTTGGGTCACTCTAGAAAATTAATTTAATCCAAGGGGCAGAGCATGGGAACCTCAATTTCTACTTGGTAGGTCAAAAGCACAGGTAAAACCCCTGGAACATGTGACTGGCATTGAAAATGGGACTTAGTCTTGAGGGACCTAATTCTCAATCTGTGTGATCTGTTGCTATCTCCAGGTAAGTGATATTAGAATTGAATTGAATTAGAGGACACCCAGCTGGTGTACACTGCAGAATTGCTTGCTTGCTTGTTGGTGGGGAGAAATCACATAGTTGGTCACAGAAGTCTCCTTTGTTGACTGTTATGGTGGGTGAGCGGCAGAGAAACAGTTCATATTTTTCCACTCAGAGATGTATATCCTCCAACTTTGATTTTTTTTTAAAAAAGATAATCTCGCTATGTCCCCTAGGCTGGAGTGCAGCCTCTGCCTTCCAAGTTCAAGCAATTCTTCTGCCTCTCCCACTGACTAGCTGGGATTACAGGTGTGTGCCACCACACCTGGTTAATTTTTGTATTTTTAGTAAAGATGGGGTTTCACCATGCTGGCCAGGCTGGTCTCAAATGCCTGGCCTCAAGAGATCCACCCATCTTGGCTTTCCAAATTGTGGGGATTATGGGTATAAGCCACCATGCCCAGCTATATCCTCCAACTTTGTTCTTCATTTTAAAAAGTATTATTCTCTGACTTTGCTTCTCCTTGTAAATTTCACAAGCAGCTTATTAATTTTTTCCAATAAGCCTATTAGTATCTTTATTGGTATTACATTGAATCTATAAATCAATTTAGGAAGAATTGCTGTCTTAACAATGTTGAATCTTCTAATCCACAAATGTGTGTCTATCTCTTTTAGGTCTGCTTTTATTTTTCTCAGAAAGATTTTGTAGTTTTCAGGGTAAAGGTCCTGTCATGTTTTGATAAATTCATGTCTTAGTCCATTTAGGCTCTTATAAACTAAATCCCACAAATGGAGTAGCTTGCAAACAATAGAAATTTACTTCTCAGAGTCCTGGAGGCTGGGAAGTTCAAGATCAAGGTGCCAGAAAGTGTCTTGTTCTTGTAGACAATGACTTCTCACTGCATACTTAAATGGTGGAAAAGGCAAACAAGCTTTCTTGGGCCTCTTCCATAAGAACACTAGTCCTATTCATAAGGGCTCCACCCTCAATGACCTATTCACCTCCTCAAAGCCTCCCCTCTTTTTTCTTTTTCTTTTTTGAGATGGAGTCTCATTCTGTCACCCAGGCTGGAGTGCAATCATGCAGTCTTGGCTCACTGCAACCTCCACCTTCCAGGTTCTAACGATTCTCCTGCCTCGGCCTCCCAAGTAGCTGGGATTACAGGCCGGTACCACCACGCCCAGCTATTTTTTGCATTTTTAGTAGAGACAGGGTTTCACCGAGTTAGCCAGGATGGTCTCGATCTCCTGACTTTGTGATGTGCCTGACTCAGCCTCCCAAAGTTCTGGGATTACAGGCATGAGCCACTTTGCCCAGCCAAGACCTCACCTCTTAATGCTGTTGCATTGGGAATTCAGTTTCAACATACAGATTTGTGGGATTCGTGGTGGGAAAGGAGGACACAAACATTCAGACTATAACAATCCCCAAGTATTTTTATGCTACTATAAATGGAATTTTTTTGAGTTGTCTAATTGTTCACTGTTAGTTTATAGAAATATATATTTTGTTTATTGACCTTGTATCTTACCATCTTGCATTCACTTATTACTTCTAGCAACTCTTTGTAGATTCTTTAAAATTTTCTATGTACAAAATCATTTTATATATAAACAAATAGAATTTTACTTCTTCTTTTCCAATTTATATGTCTTTTGTTACTTTTCATATATTACATTAATGAAGACTCTAGTGAAATACTGAGTAACACAGTAAAAGCAGACATCTTTTCCTCCTCTTTGATCTTAGGAAAAAGTATTTTCTCTTTCAATATTGAGCTTAATGTTATCCATTAAATATTCATAAATATTCTGAAATCAGATTTAGGAAAATACCACCTTTTATTCCTACCATGCTAAGAATTTCTATTATAAACAAGTGTTAAATTTTTATGAAATGGCTTTCTTTTTTAACCTCAATTTTAACAAGAATAATAATTATTATTTTTTTTTTTTTGGTCTTTGCTCTGTTAATTTGGTGAAATATGTTGATTTATTTTCCGTTGTTAAACCCTATTTGTTGTAATGTATTACTGTTTTTACACATATTACTGGACAAAATTTTGTTACATTAATTTACCACTTAGATTTGGCATATCAACATAATGTCTTTTTTCGTGATGCTTTTTAGTATCAGAATAATGCTAGCTGTGTATAATGAATTAATTATTCCCTCTTCCTTTGTTTTCTGAAAGACTTTGTTTTACACTAGTTTTATTTATTCCTTAAACATTTACTGAAAATCACCAGTGACGACCTCTGAGCTTGGAGTTATCTCTGTGCAAAGGTCCTTATTTATGAACTGGATTTCTAGAATTAATATAAGGATATTTAAGTTCTCTATTTTGGGGGGGTTCTGATTTGCTAATCTGTTTTTCTTAAGAAATTTGTCTATTTTATCTATATTGTCAAATTTGTTGGCAAATGCCATCCATCGCATTCTCTTATGATCTTTTTAATGTTTGTAGAATCTGAAGTGATGTCCCCTTTTCTGATATTGGTAATTGTGGGCTTGTGTATTTGGCTAGAGTTTTAAGAACTTTATTAACATTTTAAAAGAATAAGGTTTTTTCTCTATTGTTTGTCCAATTTCCATTTCATTAATTGCTGCTATATTTATTATTTTCTCCCTTCTACTTATTTGGGCTTAATTTTTGTGTTTCTTTTTGTAATTTCATAAGGTTGAAAGGTAAATCATTGATTTT